ACTGTTCGTCGATTGCTTTCAAGTCACGTCGTATAGGCGTTTTATACGTTTTCATTTATTTTCTCTTCTCGATGGATTGTCATACAAGGTGAAGAAGAAATTTTCTATGTCAACGATCTGGGTGAGCCAATGAATGAAGTTCGGGAGCGGTTCGAAAATAAAAAGACATCTACGAGTCTGCACTTTGTGGACGACTGACGTTTTCGAGGGAATTTCTCTTGGTGAAAAATCGTAAATTGCGTTTCGTCGCAAAAACTATCTGGGACACCTAATGTCAACACAATGGCGTCACGTAGCCAATGGGAACTACCGAAGTAAGTTGCGGTCCACCGAAGTCAGAAGCAGCCAATCAAAGTTCTACGACATCTTGTGAAACACGTCGCCTGGACGAGTCGTACTATCCCGCAACTACCATTACGCTTCGACTAACAATAAGTAGCAGGTACAAGCTGCGGTACATATGCCGAATACAGGCGATGCGGTGCTCTATTGCGACACTCCTATTACGAGTACCATCGCTGAATGTATACAAGCATTACATCCCTATAGGAGACTCCATGCGCACGCGAATCCAAGTCAGCCCTGGCACGTGTTACGTGAAGAACAGAAGCTGCACTAACGTGTTAAGCATGAACTGCGCATAGAGCAAAATTAACTAAGCTTCCCTCAATAGCCAATTGAAGTCCCAGCGATTTCACATTTTTTCCCAGATTCCCTGCTAGACGTTCCTTTTCTCACTATGCACAAGTGCACGTACATATGTCGAGGGAAATAATAATTACATGTAAAATTGTATCCCCAGTGGCTATCCAGGTCGATTTCTCACTTAACGTAGCGTGGCGCTATGTACTACGAGAATAATGTTACATCATTGCAATATCGTCCCCTTTATATTTGCCCTACGACCATTGAAATAGTAAACAGTCGAATGTTGCGCGCAGTTCGGTAACGTCTATGGGTTCGGCATGATTTCTAGTCGGCAGCTTGAAATTATTTAGCCGTCTCCGAAAGTATTTATATGTAATATCGATAGGTTGGCTCGTTTTTTGTCGTTGAGCAGTGGCAACCCTGTCCACTCACCCTCCCTTCGCCTCGGTCTAACCACGCGGCTATACATACATATAGTTGCTCTCTACTCGTTATTGAATTCCAGCAAGCTCGCCGTCGAGAGAAAGGGTCTCCGGCGAAAGAAGGAGCGCGGG